TGGAGCTCGGTGAAGCTTCAACTGTCCTTTCAGGTTATTAATGAAGGGGGTGGTTGCAACTAGGGGATATAATTGGAGTCTTAGCTTGTTCTTGGGAACTGAAGGCTTGGAGGAATTGACAGTGAAGATTACTGAGTTACTCATGATGGGTTTACTTGGATGGCATTTGTGTCTATGCGAAATCCTTCAAGTGGGAGATTGTTGGGTTATTCGGTGAAGGCTTTGGAGCTTTGGGCTTTAAGCCCGGCCGGTTAAAGGGAAGAAATATGGGGGCCCGGTTTTAGTTATTAATTAAAGGGCCCATTAGTTGTTTCTTGTTTAGCAAGTTGTTAACCCTAATTTATATCTTATAAATACCCAATCATGTAACTATAATCTGAGAGCACCTAATAAAAGATATAAACCCTAGTTGCAACCCGTGGAGTAGGTTACTGACCGAACCACGTTAAATCTCGTGTTCTTATTTCTGCTATTTGTGTGTGTGTGTGTTTGTTCGCTTCCGCTTGACCGCCTCTGATCTCTGATTCCTAACAACAATTGACTCAACTATTCCTTTTCTACACGAAATGCTTTTATGGGCAAACAAATTAGGAGTATGTCTGACAGTAAATTGGCACACCTTTGGTAAGTCTCGGAGGAGTATGTCTGAGCGCAACAGACTTAGAGCAGCGGTGAGCAGTCAACCGCCGCGCACAAAGAGATCGTCGCCGGTGTGAAGACCCGTGCGCACAGCCTGGGACCAGAGAACTTCGATCGGATCTGAAGAAATGCAGATCAGGCAACGGAAGAGCAGAGCACGCCGCCGCCGATTCAATCATCTGAAGCCATCTTAGTCACCACGGGGAATCGCCGGCAGTTTGCCGCGCCCTAGTCACCTTAGGTCTTCCAATTGCACAGCCAAATTGCAAGAAAGAAAAATATAGGGTGTGTTTGGAAAATAGCTTTTCGGATATCTTTTGGCATCTTTGACTGACTTTAGATTGTTTGACTTATCAAATCGCCAAAACTATTGTTTGGTTAATGGCTTTTTCACTTGGCTTTTTGATCCGAAATGCCAAAATTTGAAAAGCTAAGGGAAGTAACTTTTGAACTTGGCTTTAAGAAAAAATATTTTAATCATTTTTATTGAAAGATATTTTATAATATATGTAAAAAAAATAAAAATAAAACTTAAAAATTTAAAAAATAAAAAAAATTAAAATTAAAATTTTTTTAAAAAAAATGAGAAATTCATAAGTAAAAATCATTACAAAGTTATACGGAGTATATTAATAATTTCTTACGAATTATATAAACAAAAAATCTTATGCTCCACATATTAACGATTTAATTGTTACATGTACAAAAATAAAAACAAATATCATGTGTGCATATACATACATACATACATACACACACACATACATACATACATACACACACATACATACACACATACATACACACATACACACACATACATGCATACATACACACACAGACATACATACATACAAACTATGAAATTGGAATTGAGGACTTCAATTTCAATTCTTGTGTTTGGTAGCATAAAAAATATGTAGATTTGAAATTGATAGTATTAAAAATGAATTGGAATTGGTGATTTCAATTCTATGGAAGTGAATCCCATAAAATTTCAATTCTAATTCAATCAATTCTGTATACCAAACGGACCCTTATTTTAAATTTTCAACTCACTTTGAGCATGCACATTAGGGAGTATAAAAGTAGCATATTTGACATTATGAATTTCTGATTTCGTTGTAATTTGTTTTTATTTTGTTCCCAAACAAGCAAAAGAGTAAATCATATGGAGACCACATTGTGAACTTAAGGCAATCTCGCTCAAAGAAATCATATTATACGTTAAAAGTTTTAATAAAGTGTAATTGTAAATAGATTTTTTATTTAAATAATAAATAATTCAATTATATACATAATACTCCGTAATAAGGTAATTAAGAAACTAAAGTCAGTACAACAACAACAACCCAGTTAAATCCCACAAGAGTAGGGTCTGGGGAGGGTGTGTGTACGCAGACCTTACCCCTACTCGAAAGTAGAGAGGCTGTTTCCAAAGAGACCCTCGGCTCAACGTCGAAAGTTGCATTGCTTGACTAACTGCTACTTCATTAATTAAAGAAGCGCAGACAGTTTAGAGATTCATTTTGATTTATTTCATCACACTCCAAAGCAAAAAAATGGTGAAAATTTGGCTCCATCGGAGATGATGGAAAGAAATTATATAATGTTTACTCTATTATGGTAACTGAATTTCTATTTTGGACGAAGAAAATATAGAGTTTTGAGACCTATATATCTACAAGATCGATATGGATTTTCTCACATAATTTTTTTTGTACCCGGAGCACATAAAATGATAGAAATGAATGCTTAGAATGGCGGGGAATATGAACAGCCCCAAAAACAAAATAAAACGCACTGCGAATTTGTAATATTCCGTAATTCAGATTATAGAGTTTTACAATCAATCGATATAAACAATCTAAAACATAACCCCCAACGGCTTGGATTATTGTTCTCACCCCAGGAAAAGTGTGCTAGCAAGCAAGCAAGAACCAATTATAGAATATTGATAAATATTGGTTCTTGTTTGATGATCTATCCTTATCATTGCTAAGTACTAATATTATTCTTCCTTAATTAATTTACCAAATTAGACAATCTGGCAGAGACATCTTTGGATCCTTACTCAGACATTCCAGTGTGATGTTTGTGATGCTAAAAGCAAGTTCATCGTTATCTTGCAGAAGTGACTTTTTGACTATGGATTTTTTCCCTGCTTTGCGCTGCTCCACAGCCCACGTGTGGGGTGCCAAGTAATCCTCTTCGAGGCGGTTGCCAAGCAACTCCAGAAGTAGACACCCAAATACGTAAACGTCGGCTTTTAAAGTCCGAATACCTGCAACATTGCAGGATCAGAAGCCATACCCTAATGCAATGTACTATTTATCACACACAAATAGAGAACAATCTTACGAATTATAAGATCGATGAGGATAGATGATCTCAATATTAGATTAATTTACCAGAGCATGGGGAAATTGACCTATAGAGCAAGTATATTTCACAAGGAACTCAATTTCTCCAGAGTATGGGGAAATTACAGTGTAGTAATAACTACACGTACAATATTGTATTTTATAACATTAAGCAAAACAGAGCAGAAAGAACGCCTAAAGCATAGATTCAAGAGAAAGAGAGATATCTCAAACTGCAATTTTTTTAGGTTGAAATAGTTGAATGGAAGGGGAAAACATCATATCGTGTATCCGAATGAAGAAGAGATCCCTTCCTCTTCCATTTATTTAAAGCAGTACATGTGATCTGTCTATCAAGATTTATATATGGTTTAGCCATTGCCCAATCTTTCCCCATTCTCACGCATGCACTTTAGCATGTCAGAGCGGGGTGATTAAAAAAACACGACTCCACACTTTCAAATTTGGAACTAGCACTTCTGAAGCCATTAACACTTTCATTATTTTGGTAAATCTGTGTCAGCTCTGTGAATTTTATACCTAATGGTTAAGGTTTAACCCATCACTTTTTCCCATTAACGGACAGTACTCAATAAAATCCTTTACCTTTTCATCAAGAAAAGGTCATCAATATCATTCTTAGAAGGTAAAGTGCGTCATGGAGAGAGCCAAGGAGCACCTACGTTGTTACAGGCAACAAATCGTACAACATACGGAGTACTTTATTCTCCTTTTAGTGTGAAATGGATTATGTGCACGAAGCTGAAGCCTTGCTAAATTTCAGTTAGTAGATATATATCAATGAAATCTATTTCTTGCTAAATAAAAAAAAGTTGTGTCACTCATCTAGACATTGGTTGATAACAAATACAGTAACAGAAGATTCCTCTTCTACAAGTCAGATTAGCTGCTTTTCTTAAAGGACTGTGTAAAAGGAAAGAGATGATTTGCAAGTTCAAGGCTTATTTGGCGGATTGTTTTCGTATGAAAGACTTGGGGACTTTAAAGTTCTTTCTTGGTATTGAGGTAGCACGAAGCACATCTGGGATCTTCCTATGCCAACGAAAGTACACCTTAGATATCATTACTGAGGCAGGGTTGTTAGGTGCCAAGTCGTTGGGAGCCCCGATGGAGCCAAATCATCACTTGGCTCGTTCACAAGCCCCAGTTCTTGCAGATCCAGAACCATATCGACGGTTGGTAGGGAGGTTGGTCTATCTTTCTGTTACACGGCCGGAGCTTTCTTACGCTGTGCATACTTTAGCACAATTTTTGAAGGAGCCAAGGGAGGATCAGTGGACTGCGGCACTTGGGGTGGTTCGCTATTTGAAAGGATGTCCAGGACAGGGCATTTTTCTCTCTGCAGACAGTAGCCTTCAGCTTACAGGGTGGTGTGATTCGGACTGGGCAGCATGTCCTTTGACACGGCGGTCGCTGACGGGCTGGTTTGTGCAACTTGGTGAATCGCCAGTCTCGTGGAAGACAAAGAAGCAGATGACAGTGGCTCGTTCGTCTGCTGAGGCAGAGTACAGGGCTCTTGCTGTCCTCACTTGTGAGTTGAAGTGGTTGAAGAATTTATTACGATGTTTGGGAGTTGAGCATACGGTGCCTATGACGGTTCGTTGTGATAGTACCGCGGCTCTCCACATCACTGCTAATCAAGTTTTTCATGAACGAACGAAGCATATTGAGATAGACTTTCATTTCGTTCGTGATGAGCTCTTGCGAGGAGAGATTCGGACTCTTCATGTTCCTACTATGCACCAGCTTGCAGATATTCACACGAAGGCGCTTGGGAAGTCACGACTAGAGTTCCTTATACCCAAGTTGGGCATTTCTTCGTTACATGCTCCAACTTGAGGGGGGGTGTAAAAAAAAGAGATGATTTGGGTATATTTGGGAAGATATTTTCGTATATATTAGTGTTGGTAGTTTCTTGTATAGTGATTCCTTTTCCTTTGTTAACTATGATTCTCCACTATATATGTATGTCTTGAGTTGTATATTCAAACACAGAAATAATACGAGAGATTTTTCTCTTAAACAATTCTTTCGGACCGGCAGCATAAAGAATTAGAACATAGCTGGTCGAGTAATCAGTTAAAAAGATAGAGGTGCCACTGAAGAATAAAGTTCACCACTAGCAGTACAGAACATTGAAGTAAATAAGACAATAAAAATAAAAAGAAGCGCACCACTGTATCGAGTATCGGGGACATCTGGGAGAACAGGATAACACGTGGGAACTGTGTTATCCTCCTCCCTGACATGAGCAAGGAAACCAAAGTCGAATACTTTTATGCTGAAGATCTGCGAGCCAATTAGAACAGTAACTTATGAAATGGCAACAAGTTGGGAAGTCCAAATTAAATTGATAAAGGAATTCAGATGTTACACTGTCGATCATTATGCCTTCTGGTGTGATACCACCAGATGAAAATCCCCTCTCATGAAACCAGGTGAAGAGGCTTGCAAGTTGAGTCGCAACCCTCATTATATCGAACCCGTAAACAACAATCAAAATAATCCTTAAACGACCATTGCATTCGACAAGATGGAATGAGAATTCCCAAAAGAAAGAACATTAAACCGCGAAAATGAAGAGCATTGTATACATACTGACTCATGTCCTCCTCCATTTGATCGCATGCCCTCATAAACGAGGGGAGCAAATCCTCAAAACCGGCTGTGCGTTCCGACGCATGATAGTTGTGCTTTTGATAGTAATACGCTAAATAATTCGAACGCACGAATTCCTTCCTCAGTTTCGCCACGGTTCCCATTGATTTGGTTTGATTTGATCAGGAGGAACAAAAAATGGGTGTAACTTGCCTTCACGGATCTGCCACTCCACATTCATTAGCATTTGGTTGAAAACTGATTTCGGCCAGATTTTGTTCGACTTGGTCATTTCAGCTCTGTCTTCTTCGCTCCGCTTTTCTATCTTTCTTTTTTGAAGCTTTCTATGTATATAAATTGGTTTGCTATGTTTTTTATAAAGCCAATCTTTGGAGAATAAAGTTTGAGGGTAAATTGTACTATTAGAAATCACCTTAAATAAGACTAAAATATAGAGAAAAATATTAAAATCCATATGTGCATGTTACTATATTTTTTGACAATGTGACATTGCACATGTGCACTTTCCAATACTTTTTGGTAATGTACATGACCATGTTTGGTTATGTAAATGCATTTTAAGTCTTATTTCAAGAATAAAAACATGGAAGTCCTATTTTCGTATATTTTTAATATTATAGTCTTGCTTTAGTCTTTCTTTCATCTCACTAATGATGAACTTTGAACAATATGAGTGTATATTTGGTAGGTAAGAGTATGCTCTGTTCAAGTTATTTTTGTTACGGAGTATTTAGAGCATGTTTTTTATGGCTTGAACTTTTAACTTCCAGTTTCTTTCGGTTCTTTGCAATTTCTTCCAGTTTCTTACAGTTCTTCCAACTACTTTTATTTTCTTCAAACTCTTTCTACTTCCCGACCAATTATTCTAAAAATGATATATTATTATTATTATTATTAAGACTATAAATATTTTTATATTTAAAAATGACCCATTTTTCACCGTATTTTATTATGTGATTCTTCTCTTTGGTTCTAGTTACATACTTGGTATATCTAATGTGTGTGCATGTTTGTATATCTAATTTAATTATTGGTGTTTATTTTCATCAAATCTAGTGCCAAAAGTATCCTTTGAAGGCAAAAAGATATATGAAATTGAAGAATTTCGAACAACATCCTGCATACTAAAAAATCTACAGGGCATTCCTTCGAGTTCTGTAATGGCAACAACGGAAGATCTGATTCATAATGTTGAAAAAGTATGCACTCGTGGACTCAGATGATTGCAACCAAAACAACAATTGTGGCAATTGAAGGATATTGAAGATGATAGTGAACTTGTATGTAAACTGCTCTTTGTTCAAAAAAGTTTCATGTGTCTAGCTAGAATGACAGTAATTACATAAATTTCTTTGGCTTTTATTGTCAGCTTTGGGAAGCGGGGGGAAACTCTTTCAGAGCTTTGAGTCAAATGTTGGGCGACAATGCTGTTATGTTGGGTGAGAGAAAAAGAGAGAAAATCACACCTGTGCAATTGAAGTTATACATCTTACAAGAGTGTGGAAGGTAATCAATCATATACGTACACTCTGTTGAGAAGTTCAATCATGAAGCTTCTCTAAGGTTGTTCAGTTGTTGCGTTGAGAAAGCTGAGCAATGGTCAGATACACATCCTCCGTGCAGAGCAAAGGAGAAGGTGCAATAGCCTTGAAGGTGACACATATCAGATTTGTGGGTTGATCTCGTAAGTAGACAAGTCAATTCATTAGAAGGATCTTTGAATTGAGTGTGTAATTCTTACGTGATCTAGTGAAAAGGCTATTACACGGATGTGGGCCTCGCAGACATATGAGATTCAGCTCCGAACTGCGTAAACAAATCTTTGTGTCTCTTTCTTTGTTTTCGTTTATCCCCATGTGTGGTTGGATGTGCTATAGCTTTCTGTGTCATTCTGGTTACATTTACTGTTGATTTATGGTATAAGTTATATTGTGTGAGGGTCCTCAAACTTTCAAATGCATATTTGCTAAACATGTAAGTTTTCTTTCTTCTCAAAAGTAGTTTCAAGTTTTTTCTAAATTGCTAGAGGTTGCATATATTTCTTGCAATTCTATGTTTTTCTCAATGTTGTTACGATGAGGGTAGTAAGTTTTATTTATTATCAAAAATAGTTTCAAGCTTTCTTTTAAATTGCAAGAAATTGAAAATAGTTCTTGTAATTCTATGTTTTTCACAATGTAGTGATGATGAGGGGGAGACATTTCCATCATTTCTTGATGCAAAGTTTTTTGGACTTGGAATTATTATATGTTATATATAAATAATTTGTAAGTAGCTCAATTATTGATTGTGTAACTTAATTTTCAACTTTCATTGAAATGTGAACTTTTTTTTTATTAGTAAACATTTTTGTTAGACAATAATATTAAGTATTCCTAGTTATGGTAGAAGTTGTATGTTAGTTAGTTTCTATTCTCTATTCCTAGTTGTGTTAGGAGTCTCTACTATATATACTCTATCATGTACTCCATAATTCAAGAAGCAATATTATTATTCAAATATTTCAACATGGTATCGGAGCCACCGCTCTTGGTGACCTAAAAAAAAAAGTTCTTTGCTCCCACTGCCGCCGCCGGTAATTCCGGCGACGGCGGCTCCACCCTATTCACCTCTATTTTCTTTTCCTTCTTTATCCTCAAATCAACTTCTTCATTCAAATAAAAAAAAAGAAAAAAAAACTCTGTTGAAATCACACAAAAAAAACTATCAAAGGAGGAACTTCTCTCTTGTCATCTTCATGGTTCTTCAAAAAAAATCCCAACTCCTCACAAAATTTCTCAAATCATCCTATCTTCTCAAAAAAAAGGAAAAAAAAATGATTGTTGTTTCTCTCCAATTCACCATATCAAAATCTCAGACCCAATTTTTTTTTTTTCCATCACCAATTCTTAACCTATTTTTTCTCTCTAAAATCACTCATTCTAATCATCAACCTCCCTTTTCTTTCTCTTCTATTGAACCATTAAAAATCCAAAGTAAATCATCACAAAAACAAAGCCAAGAGGGGAAGTAGTGAAAGAGAAAATAAGACCTCTACAACTCACCTCTTCAAGAAGGAAATAGGGCATTGCCTGGATCCAAGAAAAAGACAAAAAATGTCAAGGATCTTCAGTCAAACAGGCACCTCCAGTAGCCTTCTCTATTCTTCTTCGACGTCAAAAGCTACAAGCGCGCGTCAACCTTCTCTTTTCTTCATCGACGTCCGCAGCTACTAGCGCACGTCAATTTCTCTCTTCTCCAACGACGTTAGCAGCTACTAGTGCACGTCAGACTTCTCTTTTCTCCATCGACGTCAGCAGCCACCGGCGCACGTCAAACTTCTCTCTTCTCCAACGACATGATCTGAGCAGCCACCGGCGCATGTCAGACTTCTCTCTTCTCAAAGTTTCCAGTTTCCGGCTAGTGTTCAAGCTTCCTCTTGCTTCAGCCAGAGTTCAGTTTGAGGGGGGATGTTGTTAGCGGGTATTTGTAGTTTTGGACTGTAATTAGTTTATCGGGCCCACTTCCAACTTATAACCCTAAGCCCGCTTGTACTTGTATATATACACTTGCTTGTGATTAATAAAATCAGATCAGTTTTACTCTAAATTTTTACATGGTATCAGAGCCAAACCCTGGGCAAAATAGTTTTTTTTCGGTGCTGATCTCGATCGACTCACACCGTCGATCGTGTGTTTGTGTGTGATCGTGTGTGGCCAGTGAATTTCCCATCGGCGAATTTCCCTTCGGCGATCGAGTGTTTGTGTGTGATCGTGTGTTCGGCAGAAGCTTCACGGCGACCAGAAGCCTATTGGTCTTTCCGATTGTTCTGTCCAAATTATTGGACTCTTTATTGTTCTTTGCGCAGCAGAAGCTTATTGGTTTTCACTCCGGCGATTTCCCGATCTAGAATTGGTCACAGCATCTTTTTTTTTCATCCGTTTGATCTGACGATTTGTTCTTCACCACCAAATTCATCCGTTTGGTGGTCCTTTGCAGCAATTTTGGATTTTGTGCTGTTGCAAATTCAAAATTTGACTTATTGAGATTTAAGTGGTAATAGCCATTCCAAAACCAGAGAGTTCAATCTCATTGTGCGGCTGTTGTGCGGCTGCATTTGTGATCTAAGGAGATTTTTGGTGTGATACTACTTGTGTTTCTTGGTGCACTATTGTTGTGTGGTCAACT